GCTCTGCGTGGCTCCCGGGAGTGAATTAAGTCACAGTCGGAGTGACTCACGCGCAGGCAGTCAATGCACAGTGGGCAGTGTGGGGCCCTGGCTTCCGTCCTGCTGGGTAGCCAGGCTGATGTCTCTTCCCTGGCCCAGATGCAGTTGCAAGTGATGCTCAGGGAAAAGTCATTTCCCCCCCTCACACCAACCACGTGAAGTTGAAAGAGGAGGAAACTTCCTTGCAGTTTGCTGCGGGTGGTTCCGAGGGTGTGGGGGAGAAGTCCCTTCCAATTCTCTGGGAAAGCCTGAGGCTGCTTTTCGGGATGATGAAATCTTCGAATAAGCTCAGCTAGGTCAGGACCGCTCGGACCGCACGCAGTAGATGTCGGAGAGCGCTGGATGAAGCGGGGAGGGAGGAGAATTTATAGCCCGGGGCTCAAGGAGGGAACAGGTGGTGGCAGGTGGGCGGGCGTCCCTCCGCTTCCATCTCAGCACCTTCCTACCCTGGGAACTGCAGAGGGGAGGGAGAGCGACGCACAGCAAAATCCTGACATGACTGCCTTCATCTGTTGAAGTTTCTCCAAAGCTATGTCCAACACTAGCACGCCATCTGGAGTGGCCTGGCCTGGCTGTCCCCAATAGAATAACAAGGTGGGGGTGGAGGGAGAGCGCGGTCCATCTTTTCCCATACCAGCGGGCAGCTTACATATCAAAAACAAAGCCCGGGTTTTTAAACGATTAAGTAGAAATCACTTGAGTGAAGATGCTGATTTTGACATTGTTAGGTGTATCTGAAGTCTAGCAAGATTGTGCTTTGTTGAGAAGTGGCGATTTTACATTCTAAAATATCAACATTTTCACTTAATTTACTAAATCAATTCAGACAAATTAGGAAGTCCTAATATTATAGCAGACCTGGAATGGGACTCTGCAGCAAATCATTTCCATGAAACAATTTACAATGTAGCCAAAGATATGAATGTGCCTTTTTTCAACTTGATACTGTTTTCTAATTATGTGATTGAGTTTCGCAGGTTTCAAGGCCTTGGCAGATTAATTCAGCATCTCTATTTCATTTCCCTGCTCACTAATATTTGTGGGGCACACACCGAAGTGATAACCGATCACTTCACTATTTAGCATTTAAATGCAATTATCTTCATGTACATGTACATGCAAAATGGAAACATCCAAATAATTTGGGAGTTTCAAAAATAGTTTTTAATGAATTTCAGTGTTTTAGTATGTCATCTGTCCTCAGAAACAGGAACAAAACATGATTTCCACCACTGATTATTAGATTCACACAGAGAAACCCATAATTTTCTCTCTCTCCTCTCAGCTTGTTTCAAAGGAATCTAGAGGAAAAGAAATAGGCTCCAAATAGCTTCAATCCAGCAATCCCTTCTGAATATTTCAGGAAGGGCCAGGCAAGATCTCTCCTTTTGAAACATGGGTATGTCAGCAATATCCTCAGATACTTTTGTTTGAGTGAATCATCTACAAGCTTATACAAATCAAGAGCCTTTCTTTTAACTTGGACTTGATTCCCCACCAGCATCTCAGACTACAACCCTGTCACCCTGACTTCAAGCCCTGTCCTCCCATAAATAGTTTATTAATCCCCAGCTGAAGGCACTGACGCAAAATGAAGATGACCAACTTGAAGACAATGGGATGCAATTGAACATTAATAATCTTCCGAGCGACAGATGTTGGACACAGACTTCTGCCCAGAGCCACTCGGCTCTGTCACTCTTCAGTCCTAACAGTCGTGTTGGGAACAGCAGTTCTGTGATGGGAACCACTGTGTTAGTCTTCAAAATGTCAAAGTATGTCTTTTAAGGTTTTCACAGAAGTCTGCTTTATTAGTGCTATTGTCTCTCGTATTCACTTAGCTCACTCTTCTCCCCGGAAGAGTCCGTGCTTCACTGTGGATTATCCCCCTGCAAAACAGCCCCTTTGCCCCTTCAGCCCATTATTATCCAAAGTAGTAATAAGATATGTGGTTTTGCAAATTGTGTATCCAGGGTAGGTAAGATTTTGGCCTACCCACCAGAGAATCGAAAGCACATTATAAAGAGAAAAAAAGAAAGAAACACTGGGACCCAAAGCCACATGTGACATGAAATTGTCCCAAAGTTAGCGGGATTTAGTTAAAATAAAGGGCCTCAGGGGGGCATCTAGTAATACACTTTCCAACTGTGTCTTGGAGAATACTGCTATCCCACACCTGAACAGTTGTGATGAAAAAAAAATCATCATAGGAAAGTTTCTGAGACCCTGGCGAAAAGAGACATTGACTTCAGCCTTGCCTAGACCGGTTAGAACACAGAATTCTGCTCTACATAGTTATTAACATCCCTTTGTATACCCTTTCAAAGGTATACCTGCTCTAGCACCTTCTATGTTATTTATTTATGGACAAGATCTTCTGGGTTACAGGCTGGCCATGAACTTGATACACAGCTGAAAATGACCCCCACCTCTCGAGTGCTGGGGTTACAGGTGTGCACCATCACACTTAGTGTGTGCTGGGAACCAAACCAGAGAGTCTGGCATTCAAGGCAAACAATCCTCTGGCTCGGTCATATCCCTAGCCAGACCTTCCATTTGTCTTATAGAGGAGAAGACTTCAGTCCAGGGACTGAGCACTATGCTTGGAAACTGGGAAAGCACATGGCTGGATTAAGAGAGGAAGTCGAGTCCCCTGAATCCTTTCATCTTGGAGGCTTTAAAATTATGAGATCACCTAATTATGCCCCTCACTTGACGATGGGACAAGAGAGGTCCACCAGTGACTTCCCAAAGTCAGGCAAAACACTGGTAAAAGTTTCAGGAATATGTTTAGCCTTGCTGTTCTTAAAGGTCTGTATTGTTTAAATTGCAACCCTAGTGTCTAGGACAAGACTCAGAAAATACTAAGAACTCAGTAAATGGCCCAGAAGGAGAGACTGGGCCAATAAATTAGATAAACTGATCTAATAATAAGTACATTTCTAGTGAATAACCCATAGAATGATTTACAGCCCTCCTCCAGAGAGAGAGAGAGAGAGAGAGAGAGAGAGAGAGAGAGAGAGAGAGGAGAGAGAGATATTCATGGGATGGGGATGGACACAGAGAAGAGACAGACAGACAGATACACACACACTCACATCTGCAGGGAACACAAGCTATCTCTGAATTTTGCATTTTGTTTTTGCTTGAGACAGGGTTTCTCTGTGTAGCTTTGGTGCCTTTCCTGGAACTTACTCTGTAGCCCAAGCTGGCCTCAAACTCAAAGAGATCCGCCTGCCTCTGCCTCCCGAGTGCTGGGATTAAAGGCGTGCGCCACCACGCTGGGCTCTCACTTCTGTTTTCTATCCACACAAACTGCCCAGTGAGGCTGCTGGCAAAGTGCTTTGAATCTGTTGTGATTCAGAAAGCTGCTTTATTATCTTTATATTTTAGGTGAGGAACACCTTCAACCCAGCACTTAGGAAGGAAGCAGAGGCAGGTGGACCTCTGTGATTTTTGAAGTCAGCCTGATCTACATAGAGTGTTCCAGGCCAGCCAGGGCCACATAGTGAAGCCCTGGCCTTAATTTTTTTTTATTTTTGTATTACTATTTGTGTGCATGTGTGCGCATGTGTGCGCGTGCGTGCGCGCATGTATGTGCACTGGCGCATACCATATGTGCATGTGTGTGCAGGTGTAAATGTCCATGCCCATGAAGAGGCTCAGGGAGGACAGCTGGTGTCCTGCTCTTGTACAGGACTATCCTCGGAGCCACCACCTTCAGGAGTTCAGCTGGGCCTGATCCATAAAAATCATCCCAACTGGGTTAATTGACAGCTGATGTTTCCTCTTAGAGGGAGGGGGCCATGGGACCCTTACCTGAGTATCCAACTATCCCTCCAGTTATCTATGCAATTCTGCCCTCATTGTCCGAGTCCACAGGGTCTCTGGGAGGGCCTAGAGTGTATAGGTGGAAGAGGACCAGGAGAGAGGCTCCATCTACACAGCCATGGAGAGTCACCATCCCTACTGTGTGCAGACCTCCCAGTGGGGCTGCTCCAAGGTCACCCACATTCCTGCCCACACACCCTCACCCATTGCTCTGTGAGCCTCATGAAGTCGTTGGTTCACCAGGGTGAACTGTGGGGGCATCGTTCCTTGATCTGACTTTGGGGCCACAGGAGGAGAGGGTAGACGGTGTTTACATCTCCCTGGGAATAAAGGTCAACCCCTCCAGCTCTGTCACACTCCTCCTTACTCCTGTGTGGCTGGGTCTCTCCCTGATCCTTGAGCTAGGCTGGCAGCCAGCAAACCCCAGACAGTGTTTCTTCCCATAACAGCCCTGGGGCTGCAAACACATGCAGCCACACCGTGTGGGTGCTGGGGATTTGAACCCAGGTCCACAATGCTTGCACTGTATGTGCTCTTACGCACCGAACCATCTCCCCAGAGAGTTATACCATGCTGTGCTGACTTTCTGTCCTTCTCAGTACCTGGCCCCTCCAGGCTCCTTCTATACCAGACTAAATCACATGGTGTAAAACCTCCAGCATACCCTGAAAGTACATAAAAGCCAGATAGTTTGTCTGGAGGACTTGTCTGACTCTTCTCTGGACTCCCTATCATCATCCTGTCCATAACAGCTGTCTCTCTTACTTTTTTGTTTTGTTTTGTTTTTGAGACAGGGTGTCTCTGTGTAGCTCTGACTGTCCTGGGACTCGCTTTGTAGACCAGGCTGGCCTCAAACTCACAGAGATCCACCTGTCTCTGCTTCCCTAGTGCTGGGATTAAAGGCGTGGGCCACCAATGCCTGACTCTTTTACTATTTAAGCTATTTTTTTTAATGGCATGTTAAGCCAGGTTTTGTTTTTGTTTTTGTTTTTAGTGTGTGGTGTTTTGATGGTTTTATTTGTGTGTGTATGTGTTTTGTGTTTTTGTTTGTTTGTTTGTTTTGGTTTTATGAGATGGGGTTTCTCTGGGTAGCCTCAGCTATCCTGGAACTCGCTCTGTAGATCAGACTGGCCTCGAACTCACAGAGATCCACCCACCTCTGCCTCCCATGGGGCTACTCCAGGTTTCGAAGGGAAACTTCTCTGTCTCTGATCTATTGTATGGTTTTGTTTTGTTTTCATGCTTTACCTCTGTAAGGCCTATCATAGCTCCCATGGTCTTGAGACCATCTTTCCTAACCCTGCTCATTTCCTGAAGGGAAATTTTGTGTCCTCTGCTTTCCCAAACCAACCCACCTGCTGTCTTCATCATCCTTATCTGACATAATCAGCGTCACCTCCAACAGCTCTCTGCCATCTGACTCAGGGCCCAAAGGTCTGCTTGTCACCTCTCTGCCCTGCCAAAGCTGAGTGTTCCTCATACTTGTTGCTCCCGCAGCTTCAAGTGCAATGTCCCCAGATCCCCAGCTGGCTCCCTGTGTCATTCCGCTCTCTCCGATGTTCTCTTTCCCTCCTTTTGTGTTCGGAAACCCCTGCCATTCAGGAGCTTCCTCTGTATGGCTCCTAACTACACCCTCAGCACCCAGACTTACGTCTAGGACAAAGCAGATGCACGAGAAGTAGTGTTGGAAGCTGGACACGGTGTGCCGTTCTGCAATCCCAGCACTTGGGTGGCTGAAACAGAAGAGCCCTGAGCTTGAGGATAGCCTGGGCTACCTAGTGGACCCTGTTTCACAAAACATCTACAATAAATGTGGCCAGTGAGAAGGCCCTACAGGAAAGGACTGGCCACCAAGCTTGATGACGTGAGTAGGAGCCACATGGTGGGAAGAGATAACCAACTCCCGAAGGCTGTCCTCTGACCTCCACCCTCCACACACATACACAAATAAACAAATTCACGTTAAAATAATCAAAAACAAGAAATAAGTATTAAATGGAGAACAATGAATGAAAAAGAAGCCAGGAAACAAGAGACCCAGAGAGTGGTCCTCGTTCCCATAGCAACCCAATTCTTCTTCCTTCTGCTAACAGCCACTTTGTGGGGGAACTGTGTCCTCCAAGAGCCACGGACACAAACCTGCTGCCTTGTTCCTGCTCTTGAAAATATGACATCCGCGGTTTTCCAGTGAGCAGGTGGCTTCATCCTTCCCCAAAGGATGCTCTCAGGACCATCCAGATTTCAGGCGGCTCCTGAGTCAGCCGGCTCACACTAAAGGCCCAGGCTTCACTGGCCCAGGCCAGCCACTGCTGTCCACTCCCAGCCTGTGGGAGGTGGTGTCTAGTCACCTTATTGGTGTTGTTTCTTTTGTCTGCAGTGTTAGCACCTTGGCTGAAGTCATTCTGAATGTCTAGACACTCTGGTCCCCAGAGTCCGAAGCTGGCCTGCTAAAAAGCTTGTCCTCACCATCCTGTGTGGCTTTTCCCTGGCTGTGCCTCAGCCTCCTCCAGCAAGGAGAAATGAAAACAATACGATCCTGTAGCATAAGTGAAACCCCGTTAGGAGATGTGCCAGTGTCTCCTCTCTTGTATTGCCTGGCACAGACATACCAACCTGATTAAGTGTTTCACACGGATTTTCGTTCATTCAGTTGTGATTTATCGAATTGCTGTGTACCAGGGATCGTTCTAGGCACGAGAAACAGAACTGAATAATTTAAAATTGATGTCATCGCCGTCTTTCCATTCCTCCCTGTGTATTGTAAGTTCTCTGGGGGAAGGGCCAAAGTGTACACATAATAGTCTTGCTAGAGTGTTCAGTAAACCCACATATGCCACTTGGTCGGCTGAAGCTCTTACTCGAAGCGGATGTTAAGCTAAGGAGACCAACCTCGTCACCATAGACACCTTCAGGGTATGTATTCCACATGAAGCGTGGCATGAAGCGCTTTCAAAACATTAGCCGATTCATGTCACAGTGAATCAAAATGTAGCAAGATAGTTGTGGCTTCACTGCTCTGATTTAAACAAACAAACAAACAAGAAAGGTAAATGAGGATGTTAAAAATAATACTACATTCTAATTTGTTTTTGAACCAATTTTTTTTTTTTTTTGAGCTGAGGATCGAACCCAGGGACTAGCAAGTGCTCTACCACTGAGCTAAATCCCCAACCCCTTGAACAACTTTTTAAAATGTTTTACTTTTATGTTTATATGCATGAGTGAGTGTATGTATGTGCACCCCACGCATGGCTGGTACCTGACATGGCCCGGGTTAAGGACACTGGATCCCCTGGGACTGGAGTTGTGGGAGGTTGTGAACCACCAGATGGGTGCCTGGTACTCTGCAGAAGCAGGAAATGCTATTCACTGCTGAGCCATCTCCCCAGTCCCCAAAATCCAAGTTTAAAAGATTACATTTATTTATTTGTATGTGTCTGGGTGTGTACACCACGGTGCGCCTGTGGAGGGCAGAGGACGGCTCTCAGGAGCCGATTCTTCCCTTCTACCATGTGGGACCAGGGGATCAAACTCAGGTCGCCAGGCTTGGTGTCCAGTGCCTTAACTCCCTGAGCCAGCTCAAAGAATGCTAAAATTTAATATTTTAAAAACCACTGCTGCTCATTCAAGTTGTCCATGCGTGCATATTTAAACTTGCCTGCCCTGTTCCTATCGAGTTGGGCGGGGGAAAGTTTGAGACTAGGGCTCATGTTTCTGCGACTGGCCTCCAGCTCACTTGGAGCCAAGGGTGACCTTGAACTTCTGATCCTCTTTGTTGTCACCTCCTGGGTGCTGTGGGTGTGTGGGTTTCTGCTGGACGTTGTAAACCCCCAATTTGATGATGTCACCTTTTTGCGCTTGCTCTCTCTCGTTTAGGCTACTCCAACCATCTCTACCTATTTGCTACTTGCTATTTGTTCTTTTACTTTTGGTTGCACATAAACTCACTCATTGAAACCAAATGTACAGCAATCTCAGGTCATTCTCTAGACCGTTCAGACTGCTGGGCAAGCACCCTAGTGGCAGAACCATTGCCCCAGCCCTTGCTGGATTGTTTTAATTATCTTTGTTTGTTTGTTTGTTTTTCAAGACAGAGTTTCTCTGTGTAGCCCTGGCTGTCTTGGAACTCATACTATAGACCAAACTGGCCTCGAACTGAGAGATCCACATGCCTCTGCCTCCTCAGTGCTGGGATTAAAGGCATGCAGTAATCATTTCTAATACTTGAGATTTATTAAAAGTTCATGAATGGCCGGGCGGCGGCGGCGGCGGCGGCGGCGGCGGCGGCGGCGGCGGCGGCGCACACCTTTAATCCCAGCACTCAGAAGGCAGAGCCAGGCAGATCTCTGTGAGGTCGAGGCCGGCCTGGGCTACAGAGTGAGTTCCAGGACAGGCTCCAAAGCTACACAGAGAAACCCTGTCTCGAAAAACAAAACAAAAAAGTTCATGAATGATCCAGACACTATATTAAGACTTTTCAATAAATTACCCCATTTCATCCTCTCAGCGGCTCAGGGAGGTGGGCACCATCACTGTTGCCGTGTTATTTGATTGTGTTTTAGTGTGTATGTGTGTGAGAGTGTGTGTGTGTGATATGCGCACATATATATGTGTGCAGGTGTATGAGCCTGTATGCACACTACAGGGGCCAGAGGAAGACACTTGAGTGTCCTGTTCTGTCACTCCTTTATTCCTTTGAGACAAGGTCTCAGACATGAACCCGGGACTTGGATGGTGGCCAGCAAGCCCATCGATCCTCTCCAGCCTCGCAGCCGGGCTCCAACACTAATCCCTAACAAACAGACTCAACTTCAGCTAGTCCAGGGACTCCCAAGACATCACACCCCACCAGAACAATGAGAGGATGCTCTGAGGTCCTCCCTGCCCATTAGGAGAAGTAAGTTTGTGCAAATAACCATAAAATTAAACCCACCCAGGGAGGGCCATTGATTGACAATTGGCACAGCTTGCCAGATGCTATCTAGTCTAAGAACTGCCCAGGCTTCTCCTGCAATGCTGTCCGTCCATGGCTTTGCAGGGAGTGTTCCCAGCAGGGAAGGCCTCTCCGCTAATGGTAGCTGCTGGAACTTGAGCCTTGGCAGGTTTCCCATATGTTGCAGGAGAGAGGCCAGCCATGTCCCCCGGTGCTGGAGTCACCCTCTTATCTAATTCTGGGGCCTGAAGCCACCCCCAGGAGATTAGAGACGCTCCTACCCTCAACTAATTAACAAGGTGGCCTTCTGCTGCAGGAAGGGAATGAG